TTTTTTGAGACGGAGTCTCGCTCTGTTGCTCAGGCTGGAGTGCAGCAATCCCAGCTCACTGCCACCTCCGCCTCCCAGGTTCAAGAGAGTCTCCTGCTCCAGCCTCCTGAGTAGCTGGGACTACAGGCACCTGCCACCACGCCCAGCTAATGTTTTGTATTTTTAGTAGAGACAGGGTTTCACTCTGTTAGCCAGCATGGTCTCGATCTCCTGACCTTGTGATCCGCCCACCTCAGCCTCCCCAAGTGCTGGGATTACAGGCATGAGCCACCGGGCCCAGCCTGGGCATTATGTTTTAAGGAGGAAAGACAATTAGAAATAGAACTGAGGAGGGTAGAGAACAGAGAAACTGATGTGAGCCAAACACACCTACCTTACAAGATTAAAGGTGTTTGGCCCATTGCTGAGGCCTCATGAGAACAAATTAAGATCCCCAAGAAAGGTTCAATCTGTTTATGAGTCAGGGTCAAGATTCGGGGCTTTATTTCATCTCCTCCTATCACCCTCTGACTGAGATGAGAGTTTCCTACACAAGTGAGACATATGCGACAGAAAATGTAGCTGGAGGGTTGGGTGCGGTGATTGGCAGTCTCCACCTAGCGTCTCAGCTCCAAGATAAGCCCTAAGATTCCCTCTGGAACACTAGTCTGTACTTTTCTAAATTTAAAGGAAGTCTCAAGTGTAGAACTGTTGCTGCAGTCTGGAGTCTTCACTGGTACAGCAGGATGATGGATAGTTTTTCAATACTCAACACTTGTTTTCTCCTACGTAATGCCTCTTTTTTTCTTTGTAGCTCCACATTCTTGGTTTGCTGCATTGCTCCTCCCCAGACCAAGCAGAAGCATCTGTAACATCTGAAGAAAGAACCCAGGCCCACAGCTCACCCACTACAGAACCTGGGACCTTTTCCTCCTTCTAGGTAGGGAAGTCTTCAGCTGTTTTTTTTTCTAATTCTCAATCCTGGACCAAGATTGTTTCTGGTAGAATAGAAGGGAACTAAAGGATGAAAGACGGGAAGGACGAAGGAGAGGCAAAGGTGGTGGGGGAAGAAGAGGCAAAAGAAAAGGGGACTAGGCAGAGCAGGGCATTTATTTCAACATATTCTGTTCCTCCCTTTCTCTCCCAGCACCAACTAATGCTAAGAAAAGCCACTTTCACAGATGGCGACGTTTGAGTCTTGCGGACTTCACAGACTCTTTGCTTTGTTCTCCACCTTCTGGTGAGAGTCATAATAAACAGTGAAAAGATGGTCAGCAAAACCAAGGAAAATTTAAAGACCTTGGTAATCCAGAAACTGCATGATTATAGATAATTGAGAATTGTCTCTAGATTCAAAAACATCGTTTTTACTCCATATCCTGAAACAATGGAAATTACAAACAAGATATATAAAATCAGATTGTTTTTAAACCATCACTTGTCACTATTTTACGTGATGTCACAAACTAACTGTATTCATTATTAATTCGCATTAAGAGCTGCATTATTCTTTCAAATGCCAACAGCTTTTCCTCTGAACATTTCCTGTTCTACTTATGAATTATTGTTCTAGTTCTTACAACCTGGGCAGGTTTCCATTAAATCCTTTTTGTTTCATGGGCTCATGTGTGATGAAATACTAAATTACTTGCTAAATTATTATGTTCTATTATAATATCCTATTGTATATCTATATTTGTATGTTTATTGTATTTTATATTGTATATTTATTGTAAATGTTATTTATCCTTTAATGGATTTTTATATTGTATTTATTCTTTTGGAGAGGGATAGACAGAGAGAGATGTATTTTTATTTTTTTCGTTGTGCTGGAGCTGTGTTATAATATAGAGAGCATTGGTAAGATTTTGGCAAAAAAAAAAAAAAATAGGTGTGCCATGGTAAAGGATAGATTAGTATTCTAGCTATCCCACATCCCAATCCTCATGAGGAAGAGCAACAAAATTTTAAAAAATCCTTTAATGTTATAAGACTGAGCAAAGGGCAAGGAAAACCTCTTCTTTCTCCTGCCCCCGCCAAAATCTTGTTCTTCTCTTACTAAAGCATTCAGCCATCTCTCCAGATGGTGGCAGGGCAATTCCAAAGCCTGGCCTTCAGTTCTTAGCAGAGGATGTTAGCATCCTAGCCCACTCCAGCAAACTTTCTGTTGCCTAACAGGCGGGGCTGCAGCCACACTCTAACAAGGTCTGAATCTTGGCCTTATGGAATGAGTATCCTCTTCCAAATTCTTTTTTTTTTTTTTTGAGACTGAGTCTTACCCTTGCCAGGCGCCAGGCTGGAGTGCAGTGGCTCGATCTCGGCTCACTGCACTCCACCTCCCGGTTTCGAGCAAGTCTCCTGCCTCAGCCTCCCGAATAGCTGGGACTACAGGTGCACACTGCCACCACACCCAGCTAATTTTTGTATTTTCGGTAGAGACAGGGTTTCACCATGTTGGCCAGGATGGTCTTGATCTCTTGACCTCGTGATCCGCCTGCCTCAGCCTCCCAAAGTGCTGGGATTATAGGAGCGAGCCACCACACTCAGCCTTCTCTTCCAAATTCTTAGTTTCCTCCTTAGATATTTTCTCCCTTAACCCTATGGTTGGTAGCAGTTTCCTGTATTTGCCGTTCCTGTATTTTGTAGAATCCTCTTTTAAATCTTTTAGTTAACCATCTTTTATTATTTAATAATAACATATATTAACTTTTTCCTGCTCTAATTACTGTTGTGATTTTTGTGTTAGGGAGAGTCTACTCATAACTAGACTCTCCCTAACATTTCTCAATCTCCTTATCCCAGAGGAACGCTTAAAATAATTTTTAAGCCTCAAGGAAACCCTACATAAAAATTACTAAATCAATGGCTTACATTATCAGTAAGTTGTAGATGACAGTCAATGTTGTTTAGTAGAGAATGCTAGTTTTCTATAAGCTGCTTATTTTGGCTGACTTATTAGTGTACTTTTTGTGTGGTTCTCCGTCCTAAAAAGGATAACTGTAATCTAAGTCATTAGTGTAAATAGAGAAAAGTTCAGTTTTTCCTTTGTTTAAATGTGTTTGATTTTTTTACCTTATCCAAGTGGGCCTTAAAGTCTTATAATGAATTTCTACTATATAAGATGTTAATAAGGTATATTACAATGTATCTGATGGGCAAGAGTAGTTCTTCACCCTATTTAAAACTAATAGTTACTTTATAGCCAAACTTTTTTGGAAAAAAAAATTTGGTAGTTAAGCTTAACTTACCTTTTTACAAATTAATCTCTTTCTTTTCACAAATTTTTAAAATTTATAAGGCAGGCCGGGCATGGTGGCTCACACTTGTAATCCCAGCGCTTTGGAAGTCCAAGGCGAGTGGATAACCTGAGGCCAGGAGTTCAAGACCAGCCAAACCAACATGGTGAAACCCCATCTCTACACAAAATACAAGAATTAGCAGGGCACAGTGGTGGGCACCTGTAATCCCAGCTACTTAGGATGCTGAGACAGGAGAATTTCTTGAACCTCAGAGGCAGAGGCTGCAGTGAGCCGAGATCACACCACTGAACTCCAGCCTGAGTGACAGGGCAAGACTCTGTCTCAAATAAATTAATTAATTAAATTAAATTAAATGTAGAAGGCAGATGATAAATCTCTCTTAAATAACTGGCAAACCAAAATGGGATTTGATTTTTTTTTTTCTAAGGGTGGGCTTGGTTGATTTAACTTAAACAAAGACTTCACATTTATTTTACTTAATTTTATTCACAACAAAAAAATTTATTAACATTTATTGAATAGATAAGCTGTCAAAACCATACGCAACACCAATATTTTTGTTTCTTTTTTGAGACAAGGTCTCACTCTGTCACCCAGGCTGGAGTGCAGTGGCATGATCACAGCTCACTGCAGCCTTGACTTCCTGGGCTTAATTGAGCCTCCCAAGTAGCTGGCACTAGTGCCACCATACCCAACTAATTTTTGTATTTTTTATAGAGCCAAGGTTTTGCCATGTTGCCCCGGCTGGTCTCGAACTATTGGGCTCAAGTGATCCACCTGCCTCGGCCTCCCAAAGTGCTGGGATTGCAGGTGTGAGCCACTCTACCCAGAATATTATTTAACTTCAATTTTACATGTAGCCCAACGTCACCAGCTAGTAAGAAAGTATTAAAGTACTTCGTCTTGCTTTCTACCTACAGATCTCTTTACAATAAACTTAAAAATTTGTTAATATTGACTACATTGATTTAAATGTTTCTTTTCTATTATTATTATTATTATTTTTTGACATGGAATCTCACTCTGTCGCCTAGGCTGGAGTGCAGTGGCACAATATCAGTTCACTGTAACCTCCAGCTCCCAGTTTCAAGCGATTCTTGTGCCTCAGCCTCCCAAGTAGCTGGGATCATGGGTGTGCACCACCATGCCCAGCTAATTTTTGTATTTTTAGTAGAGACAGCATTTCGCCATGTTGGCCAAGCTGGTCTCAAACTCCCAACCTCAGATGATCCACCTGCCTCGACCTCCCAAAGTGCTGGGATTACAGGAGTGAGCTGCCACACTTGGCCTTCACTTGATATTTATGTTAAAAATTTAAATTTTGATGAATTTCCTAATGCTAGGATTGGATTAGCAGATTCTGAGTATTTTTGCATCTATTGGGGCTCCTTACTGCCTTTTAAAAGCAGTTAAGTGCTATTTTATGAAATAGTGTCAACTATCTATTTCTAATAAATATTGAACAGATTTGTATTGTTTCTTAAGATATTTTAAATTTTTATTTAAGTTAAAATATGTTATTAACCTATAGTGACCATATTGTACAACAGATTTTTTGAGCTTCTTCTTAATTGAAATTGTGTATCCTTTGACCAACATGTCCCCACCATCCTACCCAACTACCCCAGCCCCTGCTAACCACTATTCTACTCTCTACTTCTATGAGTTCAACTGTTTTAGATTCCACCTATGAGTGAGATTATGTGGTATTTATCTTTCTGTGCCTGGCTTATTTCACTTGACATAATGTTTTCCAGGTCCACCTATGTTATTGCAAATGACAGGTTTTCTTCTTTTTAAAAGCTGGCCAGATGCAGTGGCTGATGCCAGTAATCCCAGCACTTTGGGAGGCCGAGGCAGGCAAATCACTTGAGGTCAGGAGTTCAAGACCAGCTTGGCCAACATGGCGAAACTCCAACTCTACTAAAAATACAAAAATTAGCCTACGTGTGATCCCAGCTACTTGGGAGGCTGCGGCAGGAGAATCGCTTGAACCCAGGAGGTGGGGGTTGCAATGAGCAGAGATCACATCACTTCACTCCAGTCTGGGCAACAGAGTGAGACTCTGTCTCAAAAAAAAAAAGTAAGTAAATAAAAGCCGAATAGTGTTCCATTGTGTATATATACCACATTTTCTATATCCATTCATCCACTGATGGACACTTAGGTTGTTTCCGTATCTTGGCTATTGTGAATAATGCTGCAATGAACATGGGAGTGCAGATATCTCTTCAACATGTAATTTTCCTTGGATATATGCCCAGTAGTAGGATTGCTGGATCAAATGCTAGTTTTATTTTTAATTCTTTTAGGAATCTTCATGCTGTTTTTCCATAATAGTATACTAATTTGCATTCCCATCAACAGAAGACAACATTGAATTTTTAAAAGCAGATCATTTAAATAATGATATTTCAGGAGAAAAACACCCTATTCCTTTTAGCTGTATACATTTATATTATGACTTGATTTCAGAAACCTTAAATTGTGGTGAAAAAATATGCTTAGAATAGGTAGCATATGGTGTTCATGCAGTTATTTTATCTCTTCTTGACCAAACTTCTTCTTTCTTAAAAAAAAAATGAGCATGTACATGGGCGCGGACATGACAAAATAAAAAATTCTTATCCCAATGGCCTTTGACAATCCGTAGTACTTCACCTTGAAAAGAGTGCAGGTCAATAAATGAAATTTAGCCACAGAAAAGCAATGGTTTCAGCTGGGCACAGCCTGGCTCTCTTGGGGTACTGGTGGCCTCTTATCACCCTGAGTTAGGCCTCAGGCGTTTGCTGAGCACCTGTGTCTGGATATACCAAGTTCCTAGGACCCCAAGGAACACAAGGAGAAGAAGCCCCTTCCCCAGGAAAATCCATTTCACTGGGCAATAGGTGCCTTCAGCTGCCTTGGAACCTGAAAGAGAGAAAGTAGAATGAGAGAGGACAGAGCATATGTGTGCAAGTGGAATGGGGCTGTTGGCAGGTGACAAGGGCTGCCATGCCCTCGCCTCAAAACATTTCCTAAGGGTGCTAGAGTGACCAGAAGGGGCCTGTTACCTGCACAAAGCTGCGCAGCACGGATAGGAGTGGAGTTGCTGTTGCTAGCAGGATTCAGAGCTGTGCAAGTGTAGCTCCTGTCCAGATCATGAAGGCTCCAGGAGCCATTGAGGATGGACCCCACATGGGACACAGCAGCCCCTGGTCCCACTGATGTCCACTCATACGTGGTGGTCTCTCCTCCTTCCTCCACAGAACACCTCAAGATGGCATTACAGATCCCATTCTCAGAGATGATAGACTCCACTCTAACATCAGGCCTTGGCAGCCGCTCTGCTTGAAACAATAGTTTTAAATGATACAAATAGCAATTAAAGACCTTTCTAGGCCACCCTAGGAGGAGAAGATTCAGGTTATCAAGGAGTAAGAACCCAGCAAGAAATCTAGACCCCTTCAGTGGAAAGATCTCTGACTCTCATTTCCAACTCCTGAGCACAAAGAAGGGGCAAGTTGTATGTTTTTTAATCAGCCACAACCACAGCCCGGGGCTGCCAGACTGAAGAAGGACAAAAAAAGAATAAGGAGAGAAAAGAAAAAAGAATCTACCTAGGAAAGGTTCTGGACTGACAAAAAGAGTGAAACTGGGAGAAGGCCTTTACCAAGGGTCATACAGCCCACCAGGCTTGGTGGGTGGCCCACTCACCCTTACCAGTAGGGACCTGGTCCTCTACACCCTTACTCACTGAATATCCTCAGAGCGTAACTGGACACTTTTACAGTGGTCCCTGAAGACATCTGGGCACTGTAAGAGCCTGTGTCTTCCATCTCCGGGTTGCTGAGTTGCAGGGAGTAGGACTGGGTGAAGTTCAGTCGCTTTCCCCGTTTCAGGTTAGTCACGTGGATTTGTGGACTTTTGGTTTCAGAGGGTTCTATGAAGGCAATAGATGTTCCATTGTAAAGCCAAGTAATGGACTTGATCTTCTCTGCTGCAGGAAACTCCAGGGGAAGAGTTACTGACTCCCCCAGAACCCCATTCACCATCAATGGGGTTGAGCTGGTTTGTGAAACTAGATTCCCTGTAAACACAGAAGGAAAAGGCTACAGAAAGTCCCTGACAATTGTCCCTCCTCCCAAGTCTCCCAGTCAGTCATAGCTCCCCTATGTTAGGGCTCACAAGAACATTGGACATAAACATGTATGAGCAGTGGTGCTGTGCTGGAGCTCAAAGTGGGCAATGCTCAAAGTCTCCTTCCTGATGGGATCTCCAGGAATCACTCCAGGGATCCGTTCAGCTAGGATCACTCATCCCTGTCCCTCGGATTGTGCTCCCCTGAGAGCTGTTGGGCCTGGAAGACCAGAATGGAGACCACTGAGGAAGTCAGAGGCCAGCCCTGCCCTGCCTGGTCCCTCTTTCTTCACCTTGAGATTTCAATTCTCACAACTTCCTATTTTCTGAAATGTTTCTGCCTCACAGAACTGGAGTTCCATGTCACTGCAGTTCTGGTGTCTCAACGGTATGTGATATAAAGATCTCAGATGACAGATGGGACACCTGCTTTTAGTCCTGATCCTGCCTCTATTGAGATGTGCAGCTTTGGGGAAGCCTGTTGATTCCTCCAGTCCTTTTCTCTTTCTTTTTAAAACAAGGGAGATAAAATGCAGAGCCTTTCAGATTCCTTCCAACTCTGATATTCACAATGTCATTGTTCTATATACCTTAGATTTTTCTCTTTTCCTCTTCCTCCTTGCCCTCATTCACTCTCTAGTCAGTCTTTCCTATGTCCTAGAGCCTCTCAACCTCTTCTATCTGCTTGTCCCCCAATCTCCCTAACATGAGGTCCTCAGTTCTGGAAAGGCCTGGCTGGGCTGTGCCCATGTAGAGAGGTCAAGCTACAGGAGAGGAGCCCCTGACTCACTTACCTTCCTGGAACTGGAGGAGAAAGAAGAGAAGCCGAGCAAGAGGTTTCATGGTGGCAGGACTAACCTGGTTTGCCTTGAAGATCACAAGGAGTTAAAAGGAAGGCAAAAGAAAGCAGCAAGTCTGTTCTGCAGCATCAGCAGATGAAACTCTCTTAGTTCCCTGATCACATGATCACATTTGCTAACCACTTCCTTTGTTCATTTTCTTTCTCTCTCTTCCTTCCTTTCTTTCTTTCTTTCTTTCTTTCTTTCTTTCTTTCTTTCTTTCTTTCTTTCTTTCTTTCTTTCTTTCTTTCTTCTTTTTCTTTCTTTCTTTCCTTCCTTCTTTCTTTCTTTTTTCTTTCTTTTCTTTCTCTTTCTTCTTTCTCTCTTTCTTTTTCTTTTCTTTCTCTCTTTCTCTTTTCCTTCCTTCTTTCCTTCGTTCCTTCCTTCCTTCCTTCCTACCTTCCTTTCTGTCTTTCTGTATTAGTTCATTCTCACACTGTTATAAAGAACTTCCCGAGAATGGGTAATTTATAAAGAAAAGAAATTTAATTGACTTAGTTCCACATGACTGGGGAGGCCTCAGGAAACTTAAAATCATGGTGTAAAGCAAACCAGAAGCAAGGACCTTCTTCACATGAAGGGCCAGCAGGGGAAATGCCAGATGCTTATAAACCATCAGGTCTCATGAGAACTCACTCACTTTCACAACAACAGCATGGAATAACCACCCCCATGATCCAATCACCTCCCACCAGGTCTCTCCTTCAGTCGGTGGGGATTGCAATCCAAGATGAGACAGATGAGATTTGGGTAGGGGCGCAAAGCCTAACCATAACTCTTTCTCTCATTCTTTCTTGCTTGGTTCCCTGCTTTTTTTCTTTTATTCTTTGTTTCTTTTTTGAGTGTGTGTAGAGCAGAGAGTATGTGGGAAATCTCTGTATCTTTCACTCAATTTTTTTAAATGGACACAATATTTCTTCATATTTATGGGGTACAATGTGATATTTTGATACATATATAGAATGTGTTATTTTCCTTTAATTGGCCTGGACACTTGCCTCAACTTCAGTCCTTATAGTCCTCATTTGTTCTGAAATATTGAGATTCCACTGCAGAAGAACCTAATACACTTATGAAATGGTTCTGATATAATTGACTAGTTTTGGTTGGCCCTGGTGGCTCACACCTGTAACCCCAGCACTTTGGGAGTCTTTGGTGGGTGGATCACTTGAGGTCGCGAGTTTCAGACCAGCCTGGCTAACATGGTAAAACCCCACCTCTACTAAAAATACAAAAATCAGCCAGGTGTGGTGGCCCGTGCCTGTAGTCCCTACTTGGGAGGCTGAGGCAGGAGAATCACTTGAACCTGGGAGGCAGAGGTTGCAGTGAGCTGAGGCTGTGCCACTGCATTCCAGCCTGGGCAACAAAGCAAGACTCTGTGTCAGTAATAATAATAGGCTAGTTTTTTTCTATTTAAATCCCTGTCTTACCTTTATAAATACACCCTGAATGGTTTACAAAGTTAAATGAAAAGAATAAAACCACCATGTGCTGCTACCTCCAAATAAGTAATAGGAATTAAGTGAAAGGTGTTACATGATCTGTCCCACAATGCACTTTTTAAGAAAATAGTTGTGGCTGGGCATGGTGGCTCACGCCTGTAATCCCAGCACTTTGGGAGACTGAGGTGGGCAGATTACCTGAGGTCAGGAGTTCAAGACCAGCCTGACCAACATGGGGGAAACCGCCACTCCCCATCTCTACTAAAAATACAAAATTAGGCTGGGCGCAGTGGCTCACGCCTGTAATTCCAGCACTTTGGGAGGCCAAGACTGGTGGATCACCTGAGTTCAAGACCAGCATGGCCAACATGGCAAAACCCTGTCTCTACTAAAAATACAAAAATTAGCCAGGCATGGTGGCAGGCACCTATAACCCCAACTACGCAGGTGGATGAGGCAGGAGAATCACTTGAACCTGGGAGGTGAAGGTTGCAGTGAGCCGAGATTGTGCCACTACACTCCAGTCTGGGTGACAAAGTGAGACTATCTCAAAAAAAGGAAAAATTTTTAAGTTAGCCTTACTTTTAAATTTGATCTATGTTTAACAATTTACAATGTTAGGACTTGAATAATTTAAAGTTCATATTGTTTAAGACTTATTTTCTTACAAATAAAAGTCAAGTGGGATTAAGACTTATTTCCTTACAAATAAAAGTCATGTAGAGAGCATAGATGTACAATTCTTATAGTCTGTCTTTGCTTTAAGGTTGCTTTTTATCTTATCATCTCTTGCATTTTGTAGAGTTCTTTCTCCTAAATTAACGGTATGTTTTATCCCATTGATTGACCATTTTAATACTACTTTATTTCTATTAGCCCATAGTGACTAATTTTTTAGGAGCACTTTACTTGAGCACAGATTATTGGACAAAGATAAAATTGTTCTAATGTGTTAAAATATTTATAACTATAAATAGTAAATGTTAATGTAAAATCACAAGAAAAAATTTATCATAAAAGATGCTTTCATATTAAGAAACAATCTGCATAACTGTGACTTAAGCGAGAAATGTGTTTAATTATCTTCTAAGTATTTTTTAAAGGTGACTGCGGACACTGATTCAGTTACTAAACTGATAACATCAAGATCCTAAGCTCTTTCCATTGGGCATTTTCAGTAGGCTAATTTTTGTCTTTTAGCTTGTTATTTCATGGTTGTACAATGGTTGCCAGAACTCCAAACATGTCCTTCCATGAGAACATTAGAAAGCAGGCAGCAAGGATGTTACCATGACAGTCAGAAACTACCCTCTCGAAACCCTTTCTTCTTCTTTATTTATTTATTTATTTATTTTTTTGATGAAGTCTTCCTCTGTCTCAAGGCTGGAGTACGGTGGCACGATCTCAGCTCACTGCAACCTCCACCTCCCGGGTTCAGGTGATTCTCCTGCCTCAGCTTCCCGAGTAGCTGGGACTATACGCACGTGCCACCATGCGCAGCTAAATTTTGTATTTTTAGTAGAGATGGGGTTTCACCTTTGTTGGGAAAAGTGGCAAAGGAGAAAGGACTTGCAGATGCCTACATAAATTGGTTATGAGTAATATATAAACAAGGAGCAACCAACTGCAGAGGTCGCAGGAGGCCTCGGAGGAGGAAGGCCTTTCCATGCCTCATGTTCCGGTGCAGGGTGACCTCAGCTCTGTTGCTATAAACATTGTGCTCATGGACGCAAAACCCCTTCGTAGCACTATGACGTAGCCAGACTTATAGGCTCCCTGTGAGGCCCAAGTTCCATCAGCTGCACGTAGATAATAAGCTAAAGATAACCACGTGTTCTTGTTTTGTGAAACTCCCAAATCGCCACTGTTATCAATCCTTAGGATGACACACCAGTCCTGGCTCATTGATTCACTCCACCATCACTCCTACCCTATAGATCAAAGTGGTCTTAATCAATAGTGTGGATGATCAGAGCTCGGGGCCTTCACTGCCTCCAATAATAAAGTAATGGACCCCTGGTCCCAAAGTCTCTCTTAATCTGTCTTTTTCTCATTCCTTTGTCACCACTGAACTCGAGGTACCCACAGGTGATATAGAGCTGGTCCCCTACACAACTTGTTGGACAGGATGGTCTCGATCTCTTGACCTTGTGATCCACCCACCTCAGCCTCCCAAAGTGCTGGGATTACTGGCATGAGCCACTGTGCCCAGCCAAAACCCTTTCTTCTTTTATGAAGGAATTAAATATTTCTACCTATTTTGCCAAAACTGGATTACATACCAACTCCTGTAGCAATCACTGGTAAAGAGCAGCAAAGGGGCCTGATCATTAGAAGGAAAAATAACAAACAGAAAAGAATAATATCAACATCAACAAAAAGGGCATACACTCAGAGAACCCCTCTGACAGTCACTGACTTCAAAGACCAAAAGTAGATAAATCCACAAAGATGGGGAGAAATCAATGCAAAAAGGCTGAAAATTCCAAAAACCAGAATGCCTCTTCTCCTCGAAAGGATTACAGCTCTTCACCAGCAAGGGAACAAAAGTGGACAGAGAATAAGTTTGACAAATTGACAGAAGTAGGCTTCAGAAGATGGGTAATAACAAACTCCTCTGAGCTAAAGGGGAGAATGTGCTAACCCAATGCCAGGAAGCTAAAACCTTGTTTTTCAAGGTGAAAAATGCAGATCCCTACATAAATTGGTTATGTAGGTTATACAAATTGCTAACTAGAATAACCAGTTTAGAGAAGAACATAAATGACCTGATGGAGCTGAAAAACACAGCACAAGAACTTTGTGAAACGTACACATGTATCAATAGCTGAATCGATCAAGCAAAATAAAGGATATCAGAGATTGAAGATCAACTGAATGAAATAAAGTGAGAAGACAAGATTAGAGAAAAAAGAGTGAAAAGAAACAAAGCCTTCAAGAAATATGTGACTATGTGAAAAGACCAAACCTATGTTTGATTGGTGTACCTGAAAGTGACATGGGGAACGGAACCAAGTTGGAAAACACTCTTCAGGATATTATCAGGGAGAACTTCCCCAACCTAGCAAGGCAGGCCAACATTCAAATTCAGGAAATACAGAGAACACCGCAAAGATACTCCTCAAGAGGAGCAACCTCAAGACACAATCATCAGATTCACGAAGGTTGAAATGAAGGAAAACATGTTAAGGGCAGCCAGAGAGAAAGGTTGGGTTACCCACAAAGTGAAGCCCATCAGACTAAGAGCAGATCTCTTGGCAGAAACCCTACAAGTCAGAAGAGTGGGGACCAATATTCAACATTATGAAAAAAAGAAATTTCAACCTAGAATTTCATATCCAGCCAAACTAAGCTTCATAAGTGAAGGAGAAAAAAAATCCTTTACAGACAAGCAAATGCTGAGAGATTTTGTCACCACCAGGCCTGCCTTACAAGAGCTCCTTAAGGAAGCACTAAACATGGAAAGGAAAAACCAGTACCAGTCACTGCAAAAACATACCAAATTTTAAAGACCATTGTTGCTATGAAGCAACTCCATCAACTAATGGGCAAAATAACCAGCTAGCATCATAATGACAGGATCAAACACAAACATAACAATATTAACCTTAAATGTAAATGGGCTAAATGTCCCAATTAAAAGACACAGACTGGCAAATTGGATAGAGTCAAGACCCATCAATGTACTATATTCAGGAGACCTATCTCATGTGCAAAGACACACATAGGATCAAAACAAAGGGATCAAGGAATATTTACCAAGCAATCTT